TAAAAATATTATCGGAATCTGATTCTAATGAATCACAAAAATCTTATATTTATATAAATGATTTAAAACAATTCAAAGAATCATGTTTATTATATAATGTTACATGTATTAAATAAAAATCTATTCGAGAATAGGGAGTGTCACACTTACCACTTATCGGTAAGTGGTAATTGGTTTGTATCTAATTGAAGACAGACCATTCATGACACATAATTGGTGATTCCATCATAAATCTTTCATGACTTTTTTTTGACTAATTAAATTTAGGTATGCATCAATACAGCCTAACTAGGACCCAATCAACGATTGGGTGCCGGTCCGATTGGGTTGTATTCTGATTGAGGTATGCAATTCGATTCTGTCTAACATGAATGATGATTGGGATTTATAGAACACGAATCAGTAGGTATTAGTGCAGAACCATTAAGTTTGGATCCAGTACCTAGTAGGAATTAACGAGGGAACCGTTGGAAGTGATTCACCGCTTTTGAGCTTATATTCCGAAGATATCGAAAGAACCTCGAGACTAGAATAACCCTAAAAGGATTCGGCCCCATGGTCTTTCTATCTTGAGATATTGAATTTTCAAGTTCTTAGGTAATACAGCGTTTTTGATCGTATATCACTGCATCATACCAAGAATGAAAACGTATTACAAGCTAAAATTTTTCTGATTATCAGCACATTAGTCTGAAGTTCACCGACTTTTGCTTCATGTCTGTAACTTACAATAATTTTTTCATAAACCAAAATATCGTCACAGACACATCTGCTTGACAATGAGAAATGGAAAGAAATGCGGATGTGGGTGGGTGGCGGGGTGTGGGTATGGGTGAACGTGTCTTTATTCAACTCATTCGCACCCACATCCATGTCTATGCAATATATTACAATAGAATATTTTTTGATTGAACCGATTAAAATATGGTTTATATGGGGCTATCTTAATCGATTTGAACTAAGAAAAAAATTTATCAAAATTAGATTGTTTTGGTTTTTCTTACATAAGAATGAGGATTTCGAAACTCATCCTGTATATCGAAAATTTTCAAAAACCGACTATCTGTTTTTGCGATAAAGCAGAGACGGTGGCTGAAAGTCTTTAACATTTTTTTGGCATTCGATAATGACTTAGCCGATCAGTTTACATCTTCATATATACTGTCTCTTATTCATTTTTCTTGATATGTAATATGAAAACATTCTCAGTGCATCGATCAAAGCTTGCGAACTTATTCATTAATATTTAATGTCAAAAAGTAGTGAAATTTTGGAGAATTTCAATCCTAAATCATGTGACAAAGAAGTACTTTTCTTCCTTCATGACAACGCTTTTTGATCTATAGCCATTTCTCTGTACATTTTTTTAAAATTCAATGAGCATAAAAAGAACAGCCTCTTTGTTGTTCTATACCTGTAAGAAATGTGTTGTTTTTTTCTTTTCAGGAATATATTTCATTTTTATTTTATCGTTCAAATCGATTCAATAATCTGTTTTAGCATTAAGTAATAATTTAAATACATTTTCACTACTAGATGCATCAGTTTTATCTAAATGCAATAATTTATCCAAAAGTTACTAAGCAGCTAAAACATCTTCTTTTGTACAAATTACACTTGCAACCTAATCATTGAAGATTATCTTTATTATTTCTTAAAAGATTAATTTTTTTAGCTTGTTTAATATCAAAACTGATTTATTTTATTTTATCAAAATTAGTTTCTTCTATGAGAAAAAAGTCTGACCAAAAAAGTGTGCATATCAATTAATAACAAACAAATGCCTAAACAAATATGTATTACCATCATGTAATCCATAGAAACAAAACTATTATATGTAGCAAAATATTTGGTTAGTATTGCGCAGAAAATCGTTATTGTGTTCGTCCACCAGGACAAATCTAACACTAAAGGCATTGCTGCAATTAATATATTTAAATCAGTACATTTTTGTGATAATTCATTTGCTTCTTTGTTTTCTATTTGGAGATAAATAAATTCATTTCTAATGAATTTTATAAGAGTTCCATAATGATAATTCACATACATTTCATTTTTTTCATTAAGTATACGTATATCATCAAAAAATTTGGTATATGTTTCATTTTGAATAATTGTTTTAAATATTTTCTCTCTCTGATTCAATATTAACTGAACTTTTAGTAGTTTACTATTCGAATGCGAAACATTACAAACCAGTACTATGAAAAGTATCAAACATATTAACCATGATAATGTTTTGTAAGTTGCAGTTCTTGTGGCATGTTGAATATGGATGTGGGTGTAGCTGAGTGTGGGT